GGCCCATCGCCCTGCCAGAAGGGGCCGCGCGCCGCGAGGCGTGGAGTGCCGGGCACCGGGGGCGTCCCTCCCGTGCCCCTTGGTGGCGGTACCGCGGCCCAGAGTGCCCAGCTGTCCCTTCGACATGCCACTCGGCTTGGCTTCCTGCCCCCGGGATTTCGGAGTGAGATGCCCCAGCCATAGCGGGCAGGTGGGTGTGTGCGCGGAGCCTGGAAGAAGCACTGCTTTTGCTCCCTCTGGCCAAGGTAGCTGGTCTCCTGTGCCTCAGCTGCAGCCGCACCCCCGTGTTTCTCCTGGACGTGATGTGGGAGAGGTGCCCACGGGGTCCCATATCTCCCCTTATCTCTGGACTTCTATCCTTATAGATGTTTTGAAAGAACCCTGCGGTCTTCAGACCCAGCGTTTCTGTCTACCTAGCCTGTATTTATGAGGCTTCTTTATTAGAATGTTAGTTTTCAGTTGACTTGTTTTCTCCGTAAAGACAAAGAAAGGATGCTCCTAAGACTAAAATTAAATGATCAAAATTTCTCAATGCTCCAACAGTCTTTAAATATGATTATTAATAATTAGAGCTAGACATTAAAAGGCAGTAACAATACTGAAGATTTTGGAAGCTGCCAGTGAAGATGCAGTTGTCTCCAATTCTAAGACTATTTGGAGCCTCGTGTTTATTAAAACTCTCAGGTACTCCTGAAATAAGTTGTTTTTGTCATTAGGTCTGGAGTAGTTTCACAGTTAATACCCGTGTGGTTGAAAAACCTCTGGCAGATAATTCATACCCTATACCACATGCTGCATGTTTAACTCTGTTGTTAGGGACTTCCTGAGAAAGCTTGTTAAATGCTCTCTCATGCCTTCCGAGTTCAGCAAATAATCTGTTCTCCCCCTTTTTCAAAGGCTGGAAACACTGGCCCAGGGAGGAGGAACCCTGGGGAAGGGAGTCCCTGTGGCGAGTCTCTGCAGTCAGTGCTCAGCCTGGAGTATGTCCCTCTGGCATTTGAGAGAATGAAATCAGGTTGAAGACTGGTTGATTCTACAGGAACTTTTTTGTTGTTATTTCAAATCTAGAATATGAGTGGCCTTTTATGTACCAGAAACGGGTCTGAAGAGTGAGTTTCATACCCTTTGCTCTCTGGCTTCTAGCTTAGATAGGGTTTCTCAACAGCATGCTGTTGACATTTTTGGCCTTACAATTTTTTGTTGGTGTAGAATGTTTCGCAGTTCCCCCAGTTTCTACCCACTCGATAACAAAAGTACCCCTCAGTTGTAACCTCAGAAATGTCTTGAGATACTGCCTCATGTACCCTACAGGGTAAAATGCCCCCTAGTAAAGAGCCACTGAGAGAGAGGATGAATCCAAAATATTTTATTCTAGGTCTATGAGATAGTGAAGTCCTTGCATACTTAAGCGTTAGTATTTTCAAGTAGTAGCTTTAACATCGCTGCATGGATCCTTTGGCTCTGTATTACCGTGTAGGCAGGCAGGTTTAGCCTGTGTTTGTATCGTTGTTCCAGGTAGCAATATCTTGTCAGTATGTGAAAGAAAACCAGAATGTCTGCTGCCCCAGGTATTAAATGAGCTGTCCAGGGGGAGTGGTGTCAAGGCCTTCCTCTAGTCTAAAAGAAAGGAAGTTGGAGAGGCTGCTTGCTGTACCTGCCCTGACTGATTTCTTGTCTAACTCCCAGAATAGCATCCCTGTTGAGTTTTCTCAGAACCTTTTATTGCTTCCATTTATAACTTCCTGGGCCCCTGAGCACTCTGGGCTGAATTGACCTTGGGACTTTGGGCTGCTTTCTTTCCTGCGAGGCAAAGATAACAAAATCGCCTTGTGAGGATGTTGAGATGTCGAAGGATCATGCTTCACGCAGAGTGTGGTGTATCTGTGTCGTACACCTAAGACAGTATGCGAACTGACCTCAGGGCACCCGAGTGAAGCTAGTGAGTAATTTTGTTGAAGTTGTGGTCTTGTGGTTTTCTCCCTCACTGCACTCTTTGACTATGTATGAAGGGGGTGGAACTTGGTCACATTCTGAGAACTGTATGGATGACATACAGTATGGGACTTACTCTCTGGGGGTAAGAAAGTTGATTGATATCATTGTGCTCTGTGCACCTTCCTCATGGATTTCCCTTTTAACTCAAAGTTTTTCTTATAAACCATAGTCTCTTTCATTTGGTTCTTCCCCCCCCCCCCTCAGAAGAGTTAGTTCCTTAGTTTGGAAATGAGGTGGTTTATGTAATTAACCTTCTTATCCCTGTGACTGATTTATTTTCCTCCTGAAAGCCTATTTGTCCCACCTGTGTATTCATTAGCAGGACAGCCTGGTACGCGTAGGATCAAGCAGACTGCGTCACATAAACTAGAAAAGGCTCAGTTTATAATTATGCAGGCTTCACTAGGGTCAAGGCCTTGTAAGGACTAGAGGTAATATACATGAAGCGCAAGGCAGTAGAGGTACTGGTAAAGGTACCTACAGTGCAAGTGTAGCTCATAAGGAGGGGTTAAGATAATCATTGTCATTTCCTCTTTCCCTCTTAAGCTGGACCCATCAAGAAATTCCCAGGGGCTAGACAGTTAAAACACTTCACTTTGTTGTCACCCCAGATTCCTGTGTGGACTCTCCAGGGGGAATGTTCGAACAGGTTAGCCTCCCCTTTCATCTGCCCCCCCACATTGCCTTCCCAGTGTCTTCTCCTGGAAAGCACAATAGCCCAAGCAGAGCTTTACGGAAGGGAGTCTGCACAGGGTCCTTGCAGACAGCTGTTTGGACCCCTTTGTGCCCCATTCCTCATAGTGGCCCAGGCCCTGCTCAGAAAAGCTCCTATCTTGATGATGATCTGGAGGTAGACAGGCAAAGGGGTAACTTTTGTTCCTGGTCCCTTCTCACTCCATAACTTGCTCTGGTAATCTCATCTGCAGCCGTGACTCCAGTGGCCTCTTATATTCTGACAACTCCCAAATTCTTTCTTTGTTCTGACCTGAACTCTCTTCTGAGTTCCATGCCTGTGTTTCTCACTGCCTGCTAGACATCTTCACCTGGATACCCCATCCCACAGGTCTCTCAACAGGTGTCCAAAACAGAAACCCCTTTCTCTTTCTGTTCCAGCCCTGCTGCTTTTGTGTTTTTTGTTTTTTTCCATTTTGGCTCATGTTACCTGGGTCCATTCAGTCTCAGAAATTGGGGAGTCATCTTAGACTGTTTATTCCTCCTCCCACACATCTAATTGGCTTCTGAGTTTTGGTCTTCTCCAGCAACTAACAGTCTTAAATTGATGTGAGAGCGAAACATCGATTGGCTGCCGTGTCAGGGCATGTGCCGTGACTGGGAATCAAACCAGCAACCACGTGATGATACCCTACCAACTGAGCCACACCGGCCAGGGCTTACTCTCCATTCTTAGTGCATTTATTATTTCTGTTTATAGCAAGTAGCCTTCTAACTGGTTTTCCTGCCTTTGTTTTCTCTTGTTTCAGTTCACCTTCTGTAAGAGTGAACTGTCTAAAAGGCAGTTCTAACATTGTTAGTCTTCTCCTTAAAATTCTTCTCATTAAAATTCTTCTGCTTAAAATTCTTCCCTACTGGGTAAAGGGGGAAAATATATCCAACTCTTTCCTGAGCTGGCCCCTCCCTTTCTCTCCAGCCTCATCTCTCCCTAATTCTTCACCCTCCCCACTTGTAGTTTCCTTAGAATATCGTGTTCTTTCTAGAATCTTGGCATTTCCCCTTTGTATGTGAACATCTTTCTGCAAGGCCTGACCTACCACCCAAGCATTTTTTTAAAAAAAAAATTTATTGAGAAAGGGACATTTTTGTTGTTCCACTTACTTATACATTCATTGGCATCTTGTATGTACCCTGACTGGGGATCGAACCCACAATCTTGGCGTATGGGCCAGTGCTCGAACCAACTGAGCTACGTGGCCAGGGTCCAAGGTCTTAATCTGTTTGTTTGTTTGTAATTTAAGAGCTCTTATTCTTAAAGCCCAGCAAACATGACATCTGTCAGAAGGCCTTCCCTGCCCTCTCCAGGCTGACACACATGTCTTCCTTTGTTCTAGAGGACTCATTGGTTCCCCTTTTCAAGCAAGATATGACAAGCTTGTGATTTTTTTTTTTAAACTTTTCTATCTCCCTCACTAAATTCTGAGCCCTTGAAAGCCTTCAGTCCATCATCAGTCTGGTGGCTAAGCTCTAGTCTCAGTGGCTGGTACATAGTATGTGTTCAATAAATATTTGCTAACGGGATACATTGGTCAGATCTAAGAATTTGCAGAAGCTATTCTTAGATTTTTTTTTCCTCATCTCCTCCTAGATAAACCAGAGTTATTTTAATGGAAGAAAGAGAGAGTGCAGGTTTGCTTTGCTGGTTACTCTTAAGAGGCTGGGCTTCTGCTTCTGCTTATGGCAGAGGCATTGATGAGCTGGGTGCAGCCCTTACTCCAGGCCACTGAGAACCAAGATGACTCACTAACAGCCTGCACCCACATGTGCAGCATCTTCCCTGAGGGAACTAGGGTAAGGAGATGTTAAAGCCGGATGTCAGTTCACTTGCTTTTGCATCTTTCTTTCATTAGTTGAGGCTGATTTTCCCTGTATGTCAGAAAATAAGAGTTGTCAGAGCTCTGGTCCATGCAGGTGTGTACCAGCTGCTCATCTGTTGCAGTTTGAACGCTGCCCCATGAGAATATAGTAAGGTCTTATTTATTTATTTGTGTCATATATCTTTTTCTGTTATCAGTAGGTTTTTGAGCTGCATTGGGATTCTTCCTGCACCTCATGTACTTTTGCTTATGGCTTGGTCTGTGTTTTATCAACGCCAACAGGGGTGTAGTGAGGATATCTCCCGTGTCACTCTGGCAGCTAATGGCCCACATTTTAAGAAAAATGCAATGTTGTATGTATGGAGCATTGAGGGGATTTCTGTCATTATTAAAAGAAAAGGCCATTTTTCAGCTGAATCATGTGAAGAACACTGATGGCAAATGTAAAGCAGAGCTGGGCCACCGTGGTGATTAATGGGGTTAAATAAACCAAAGGTAATTAGGTCAAACTTGCAGAGGACATGAACACCCTCCAAAAGCCAACTGGATAATACCTGATTTAAGTTTTTAAAAATAATGCCTCTGGATCTATCTGAACTCATCAGCACCAATCAAGCCTGTATTTCTAAAAACTCCAGAGGCTTTCTGTATTTTAATTCATTAACCCATGAAATGCTAAGTGGAATGCACATTGAGATTAAATGGATTGATCCTAGTCTGTTAATAAGCTGTTGTAGGGCTCCAAGCCCAGCTGCACCTGGCTGGCTAAGAGCAGCAAAAGGGTGTGACGGCCCTGCAGATTTCCTGGGGCCCAGGAGAGCTGAGTGGAGTGGCCAGCACGAATCTTAACTGGGTTGCTAGTCAGCAAACAGTGCTTGGGAAACATGGTGCAGAGGAGGCTCCTTAGAGGGCTTTTTGCCTTTGCTTAGTTTCATCCACGCCCGCCATGGTCCCGGCCCAGCAGCAGGTCTCAGTGTCTTTCATGGGATGGCCCTGAGCTGCACAGCTGGCTCAATTTCCTTCCTAAGTGGCAAATTCACTCCTCAGCCGTTGGTGGCAAGTTTCACCAGTACCCCTACTACAAAACTCATTTCCTCCTGTGAGACCGAAGACAGGGAAGTTACCTTAACAAAAAAAGTGGTCAGTTCCAACTTTTAGCTTGAAATGGCTAGTCCCTGAGGGGGTCCAGAAGAGCTAGGCATGACTCGTGCCTGCATCTTTGGGGAAAAAATAGAGGCAGCTTACTGTCTCTTTAGGATCCAAACCTCTCACTAAAACAGCCTTGGATTTTTAAATTTGATTTATGTGAGAGGAAACCAGACTTCCTAGCAAATAGCAATATATGGCTGCCGTTTCTGCCCCTTTGCCTTAACAATGTTTGCAAAAGCATTGCAAACAGCTTTTAAATTACAAATGAAAAAGCCCAGTTGAGCCCCACTCAGACCACACACTGATCACCCTTTCGTGACATTTGGTGAAGGAGCTTGTATTAACATGTGTCCAGGAGGAAAAGCCTGAAGGAGAACGTGATGCTCCGCAGGGAAGGCCCTCTTCTGCCAGAGGTCCTGGCCACAGCCAGGCCCCCTGCTGGGGCAGGCAGACCGTTGCTAGGATCCTCGGAAGCTGGCAGCCTGACTGCTCTCTGAGCTCTCGCAGATCCTCCTCTGTTTTGTTTCTCATGTTGCCTTTGAGCTGGGCAGTCACATTTGTATATGTTTCCATCCTTCTTTTCCCATCTTTCTCTTGACTCTGGGATCTCCTACTTAAAGATCATGGACACTGGGGCCTTGCTCTGCCTGCTTTTGTCCCCTGAAACTATGGGCAGAGTCCAGTGCTTGGAACTGAGGCACCAGGTTCCCCAGTTGAGGGGTCAGGGCCCACGTAAGAGCCAGGATCATCAACAAGGGCACAGGCAGCAGTGGTCCAGCAAGAGTAAGCAGAGGAGCCCCCGACATGGGCTGGCCAGTGGCTGTGCTCCTACCAGTCACTGCACATTGTTCTATTGAGGGGCACAGGCACAGTTACTGATTTTAAACCAGCACTGGCTGCATCTTCTTTTCCCTCAGCTTGTGACTGTTGTCTCCCGTTTAGCTTCTAGTGGATTCTCACTCACTACCCAGAATGCTGCCCTCTGCTGGTTTCATTTAGTATTTGGGACAGAAGGTGGATGGTAATATACGATGGATCAAAGTGTAACTACATGGGACATCAGCAGCAGCTGCACGTTCATACAGATGTAGCAGCACTGTATGTAACCACACCACCGCCACCTTTATGAACTGGCTGCATCTTAATTTAGGATGGAGTTCCCTCTGCTTTAGAATGCCTCCCTGTGGGGGAAAATGGTTCCCTGTGGAATAGGTTTGGCAGGGCTGGCTCCTAGGGCAGCATTCAGACTAAAAGCACCGCTTGAAACCATTTTCTCCTTCTGGGCACGATTCTCCCTGAGGGCAAGGCTGGATACTGACTGGCTTTGGGGAGGTAAGAGAGCTGTTTCTTTGGCCCAGGATGTCTTTGATCCTGATTGGGGCTCAGACCTTATGCTGTCCAGGGTGGACCCAGAGTAAATGTATCTTTGCCCCACATCCCCTGGCACTTAGGTATCCCTGAGAGAAATTGCCTGCTGTGCTCTGAAGATCCAGGACCAGGCCCGTGAGTGGTTGTCCCAGACACTCCTCTCTGTGAACCTGTCTCTTTATCCCCAAGCAGCTAACAGCAGAAGTGGCACGTGCGCTCTGCCAGCTCCATTTTCCAGTTTGGTCTGTCCTACTTCAGGGTGCAGCCTGGCATAGGACTGGAGCCCAGAAATGCCCAAGGGGTGGACCTTGACTGTACCTTGGTCATGTGTAGTCACAGTCAGTATTAAATGTCTGCTGGGCAGCCGGGGTGGATTGGGGAGGATGCCGGGAATCTAGGCACATAGGCCTTATGTCTACCAACTATGCATAAAGGACTAACAGAAGCAAATACTTAATTAGCAGAGTACAAAGAAGTATAAAATAATATAGGACAAATGGGTGGCATGAACTTATAATAAAGAAATACACCAAAACTATTTCCAGGGGAGGTGAATTTAGAGCAATACCTCTCAAAGTGTGGTCCCTGAACCAGCAGGATCAACACCCCCTGGGAACTTGTTAGAAATATAAATCCTCAGACCCCCTGATTTAAACTAGGGGTAGGGCCCAGCCATCTGTGTTTTCATAAGCCCTCCAAGTGATTCTGATGCACATTGAAGCTTGAGAGCCACTGTTGAAATGGATGTAATAACATCAAAGCTTCTAGGTGAGATCAGCCACATGGATCAGCTAGCAGCTAGTATTTTGAGTGTTTGCTATCTATTAGGTACTATTCTAAGTCCCGTACCTTCATTGCCTCCTTTAATTCTCACGAAACCTTATAAAGTGAGTTATGTTTTATCCCCATTTTACTAGGTCATAGGAATAGACTCAGTCCAGTAGGGGACCTTCTCTAATCTCAGCTCTGTAGCCAACCCTGGGACTCTAAGCCAGTTATTTAACCGAACTGTGACTCAGTTTCCTTATCCTTTAAATTGGTGATAAGGCCAGTCTTAGCTATCACGCAAGGTTAGTATAAAGATAAGATTAGTACCTATGAATGTTTTTTAAAAGTTACAAATATACTTTTAAATGTGTTTTTTAAAATGTAGTGTTTTTAATAGTGGTTACCCTGATGTATCCCTTCCTAAGATGCTGCCCTGATATCCTGAGCAGGATTATTTGGGGCTCTTACTGTGCCACAGGATAAAATGGAAGAGTGTGTGGAAAGGGGGAAGTGGAGGGAGACTAGTGTGTGAGGAATGCAGTGAAGGAGCAGGTCAGGAAAAGAGAGGGGTTCAAAAGCAGGTCTGTCTGGGGGGAAGGTCTTTTAGAAGACAGGTGCCTGCAGCCTGGAGCCTCTTGCCAGGCCCCGGGTAACTCGGGGTCTGATAGAAGAGGTTGATGTTTTCTCTCCAGAACTCTACTACGACCGTGGGAACCACCATGAATTTGTGTCCCTGGTGAAGGACTTGGCCCGGCCTGGAGAAATTACCCAGTCACAGGCCTTTGACTTTGAATTCACCCACGTGGAGAAGCCGTATGAGTCCTACACAGGGCAGAATGTGAAGCTCCGGTAAGTGGTGCCCCACCTTGCCCCAGAAACTACCCCATGTGGACCGGGACCTGAAGCTGTCTGTGTTTCCCAGGGTCTTTATTAGGAAATCGGGAAGGAAGAGTGCAGAGTGCAGTGGTGTGCTGGTAAATGGTTAGCCATAGGCTCTCTGGGAGGAAAAACCCCTGGTTTGTAGCATTTATTAATTTCTGTAGTGTAAATATTCCCACCATGGCCAATTTCAAACTACCAACTTGACATCCCTGAATGCAGAATTGGGGAGAGATGCACAGTAACCACCTTTACCGAACATTATGACATATGAAGACATTAAATATAAAGTCCCCCAGAGCAGAGAATTGCAGCAAAATAATTGGGAAGCAATAAATTTTTGGTATGCATTACCTTTGTTTAATATAATTCACTCAATTTTAAGTTTATATAATTTAATTAAACTAATTGCTGTGTTTAACAGCTAATTCATAAAATTCCTGAAATTCAGCAGTTGACTTTCATCAGCACATACTGACCCTCAGCCCAGGTCTGCTCACAACAGCAGTGTGACCCTGAGCTCTGTTACTCAACTTTCCCACTACAAAAGTGGGTAATAGGTTCGGTTCTAATTCTAGATCTGCCTGCTCCATCTTTTGGGGGATGATGAGAGAGAAAACGTAACAGTGTAACAAGTTCTTAAAAGGTTAATGAACACAATTTAAGTACATGGGATTGCTTTTATTGTTCCCATCTTGGAAACTGAGATTAGGGACTGATTCCGGGGCCTCGGGGGTTAAAAAAAAATAAATTAAAAAAATCCAGAGCAGCTATCACTGGGATAAAGCAGACTTCTTCATCACTCTGGACACCTGGTTCCAGTTCTTGATATAAATAAGATCAGCTTGTTCTCATCACCTGAAGGCCTGGGTTTAGGATGCTGCAGAATACAGCAAGACTTTTTTTCCTTTTATTTTATTTTTTCACTTTTAGTCTTTAGTTACTGTTGACATAAAATATTATATTAGTTTCAGGTGTACAACATAGTGACTAGACATTAATATAACTTACGAAGTGATACCCCAATAAGTCTAGTACCCATCTGCCACCAGCCAGTTATTACAGTACTATTGAATATATTTCCTATGCTGTACTTTACGTCCCCATTACTGTTTGGTGTTTTTTTTTTTTTTTTTTTGGTTGGTCGGTTTTTAAAAATATATATATTTATTGATTTCAGAGACAGGGAGATAGAAATAGAAACATCAGTGATGAGAGAGTCGTCATTGATTGGCTGCCTCCTGCGTGCCCCTGACAGGGGATCGAGCCTGCAACCCGGGCATGTGCCTGACTGGGAATCGAACCTCGATCTCCTGGATCCTAGGTCGATGCTCAGCCGCTGAGCCATGCCCGGCTGGGCCCCATTACTGTTTTTATATGGGCAACTTTTATTTCTTAATCCCGTCCCCTTTTTCACCCATCCCCTTCCCATCTGACAACCATCAATTTGTTCTCTGTATTTATGAGTCAGTTTCTGTTTCGTTTGTTTGTTTGCTTTTTAGATTCCACATACAAGTGAAATCATATGGTATTTGTTTTTCTCTGTTTGACTTATTTTAGCATAATACCCTCTAGGTCCATCAATGTTGCAGATACAGCAAGACTTTTCTTCCCCTTCTTTCTCCCTGGTTTTCCCTCTTTCATCAGAAGAGTGATTGTAGGCTCTTCTTTTTCAATCTTTGGAGAGAGATTACCCCAACTAAAGGCAGCGTTTCATAATTGCATTCAGAGAAGGCAGCACCTATGTTTGGCTATGGGATTTATTAATATTTAATTTTTATTTTTTGCATTGGATTTCTCTTAAACATTTTTATGTTAGAAATAAAGGGTGTTGAAAACAGTATGGTGATTTCTTAAAATATTAAAAATAGAGTTACCATATGATTCAACAGTTCCACTTCTGAGTACATATCCAAAAGAAGTGAAAGCAAAGACTCAAACAGATACACAGGGTGGACAAACGTAGGTTTGCAGTTGTTTGTATGGAGAAAGACATGCAGGTTAGTGTTATTACAATAGCTTTATTAAGTCTGTTTCATGTACTCACAACTGTACACCTACTTTTGCCGAGCCCTGTATGTAGATCTACATTCATAACAGCATATTCACAATAGCCAAAATGTGGGTGCCCCCTGAATGTCCATGGACAGATGACTGGATAAAACAAAACATACAATGGAATGTTATTTAGCCTTGAAAAGGAAGGGAATACTGTCATTAGCTGCAACATGGGTGAATCTTGAAAACGTTATGCTAAGTGAAATAAGCCAGTCATAAGACAGATGCTGTATGATTTCATTTATATGAGGTGCTCAGAGGATTCAGAATCAGAGACAGAAAGAATGATGGCTGCCAGGGGCTGAGGGGAGGAGGAATGGGGCGTTAGTGTTGATGGGAACAGAGTTTCAGGTGGGAAAGCTGAAAACGTTCTGGAGGCGGATGATAGTAATGGTTGCACAACAGTGTGGATGTGCGTAATGCCACTGAACTGTACGCTTGTTATTGGTAAAATGGTGAATTTAATCTTATGTATATTGTAGAGGACAACAAACCTTTTTTTCTACCCATCTTAGGTTCATTGACTGGGCCCTGCAAATTAGACTGACAAAAGACAGGTTAGCAAGAGAAAAACAAATAAGTTTATTCACATGTGCATTGTGCATATACATGGAACTCAGTAATGGGTAACGCGAAGGGGTGGTTAGAGCCTGGGCTTATGTAAGCATTTCACCAGAGAAATAATGACATTAAATAATGACAATAAAGACAAAGCAAAGGGACTTTGAACTTCTAGGGGCAACAGATTGTGGGAGGTAAACCTATGGGGGAAATGTGGAAGATAGGTGGTTTTAGCTAGGTTGGTTACGTAGATTTCTCTGGTGCAGTCTGGGCTGATGAGAGCCTGGAGTTGTCTCTGGTGATTAAGGATGGCCTGCTCTCCTGGGAAAGAGGGGTGATGAGGGTTTTTCTTGTGTCTGCTTCTTCTCAGTTCCTTTGAGCTCTATAATCCTTATGCTAGAGTGGCTTATTTGGGGGTGGCATACTCTGAACCCCTTCTACATTTTACAATAAAGAAAGGAAAAGAAAGGAAGGTGTTGCTGTGAAAATTAGATAAAGACTTTAGGATTCATGTTGAGAAAGAGAGGAGGTAAACAAGGGAAAACTGGCTAAGGGTGTTTTATAGAAGATGTAAATTTCAGATCAAGGCTTATATCTTATTGCATAGAAAGAGGGAAAACATGACAAGATTGTTTGGGCTCCTTTTTCTTTGTAAGCAGGGGAGTGGTTCTTTTGGAATAGTTTAAAGTCAATATGTGGTATTTGATGGGTGGGTAGAGTGTGGACACTAAACTGTTAAAAGGCTGGTATGACGTCCTAAGAGTTTTGCTTTAGTGGACATGATGGGACCAGGCAGAAAACCAGGAATTTAATAGACATCCACAGAATTTCCTAATGAGTGGAGATATAGACAGAGGGCTGCCAGGAGGAAGAGATGATTCATCCAGTTTTAAAGTTTGGGGCACTGGCAGAATAGAGAGGTGTAGTTCAATAGGTGGTTGGAAATGCAGGCCTGGCACTCAGGAATTCACTGTTGAAATCATCTGCTCAGAGGTAATAGCTGATCCCCATTTCAAGGAGAGCTCAGGTGTGGGGCTGTGGTGAGTAGGGGGTGAAGCAGGGTAATGCCCCCCTGTGGAGCCATGGGAAGAGCATTTCAAAGAGGAAGATGTGTTTTACACTCTAACATAGAAGAAAATGCCACTGGATTTGGCAAGTAGAAGGCTGGTGGTAACTTCAGGAGGGCAGTTTCTGTCGGGGGGGCGG